TTTGTTTGGAAAATCATATTTATTTTATACATTTTGAAACGTAAGTCCCTTATTATTAATTTAACTTTCATTTGAATTTTTTTTCAAGTTTTTGATTATGTAAAAATTAAAACTAAATTCATTGTCTTTAAAGAATTTTGAGAGGCAGAAAAGATATTTTCATACGCCACCATTCCCCCAAAAATATAGTCAGATTTGTTTTGATTAATTTGGAAGTTATTTCCAGTGCAAATCCTTTTATATTCTTCAAAATTGTTTCGGAGCGGATCTGCTCCGATTTGCTATAGTACATTGCAAGTATATGGGATGTATTCTAACTGTGGTGAGGGCTTTTACCGAGACACAGTTAGATTATTCTAACTAGGGAATGCAAAATCTGATGTCGTGACAAACATTTTTAGTTTTTATGAGGAAACATGTAATTTTTTTTCTGTTTCTTTGTTTCTTATACAACAAAAAGTTGTCATTAGAATAAACTTGATAAAATTTTATTTTTAGTTTGTTCCATAAATGATAAATGCTATAACGAAATAGAATTTTGTATTTGAAATTTTAATTACCAATTAAGTCAATCATTGATCGATTAAGCTTCTCCGATTTTGACCGATTATCGATTATGAAATTTTCCCAATTATTCAACACTATATAAGCAAATATATTTTGATATTTCATCTAGTCAGAAACCAGAGAAGAATCCTACCTTTAAGTTTATATTAATAAATTGCATTTTTAAGCTAATTAAGAGGCTGTTGATATAAATATCTTACTAGTAGTTCCCAGTCTGCATCATTGACCAACACCAAGATTCCAGGTCTTCTGAAAAAGAAAAGAATAATGAGTCAAACAATTAAAACACAAAAGAGCATGTAGACAGAAAGGAAATTTAAATCATGTTCTACTCACACTGTGTCTCCTTGCATAAATAGTTCTGGACGTTCTTTCAGTAGGTTATCTCTGATATATGTCAAAAGATGACGTATTTTCCCTATTTAAAAAAAAAATAAAACAATAAAAAGAATACAAATGCATTTTCACTGTATGATCATTAAAACCCCAACCTATCCCAACCAACCTAACTCCAGAAGTAGAACCCTTTAATAACCTTGTGCCATGAATTTCAAAATTTTGATTGAGGGTTCAATTGCAATGCTTATTGCAATTTTGCCAACAGTTTGACTGATTGATGTCCAGAAATTGAGAGAGATACGGCACCAATTCGATTGTTTAAGCCTTGACCAACCCTCAGGTCCCAAAGGGGGGGGGGGGGGATAATGAAATTCATATTTAAAGTTTAGTCTGCATTTTCTCTGAATAAAGGCTTTCTTCTGTTTTTGTCAAAACTACATTAAATTTAAAAAAAAAAAAATTTCAATAATTAAAAGTATATACTGAAAAAGAATCTTTCAAATAGTCACAACAGTGTAAAAAAATTGCGAGATCAAGACAATTTAATCTATAATATGTGGAGCATATAGCAAAATATATCCACAAATTTTAAAAAACACAAGTTGGCATTAGAGATTTTTTTAACTCTACAGAAAGAGAGCTAGACAGACTTGGAGCTAGGCATAGAGGACATTGGGATTACATTGTATCCTGCAAACTTCATTCATGTCTTAATTACTCCAAAGACACACCATAAACTTTGATTAGAAAAGCTTATTGGAGCAGTTTGTTCTTGTGAACTAATAATTACTGTTGCCCAAGTAATTTATAAGAAAACCAGAAGTCTGAAGCTCTACTGGTTTGTACTTATAGCAAAGGAAGAGAAAAGTACTTAAGCAGTTGGAAATTGAAACTTTTCAACAGCAATAAATAGAATAATGATCCTTGATTAAGTCTCTTTATGTTCTTAGTGCAGTCTACTTGCATGCCACATTTATATTATAATCAGACTAAAATTGTATTTGGAGTAGCATTTTGAAAGAATTTCACAGAAATTTCTATTTTTAGTAACCAACACCGTTCATCGAAATCAAAAACCGATACACAGAATTATGTATCTTATTGTAGTCTACTTGTGTGCCAAGTTATATTGAAATCAGACTAAAACTGTAGAAGGAGTAGCATTTTGAAAGAATTTCAAAGAAATTTCTATTTTTAGTAACCACGGCAACACCGTTCATCGAAATCAAAAACCGATATACAGAATTATGTATCTTATTTTGGTCTACTTGTGTGCCAAGTTATATTGAAATCAGACTAAAACTGTAGAAGGAGTAGCATTTTGAAAGAATTTCACAGAAATTTCTATTTTTAGTAACCACGGCAACACCGTTCATCGAAATCAAAAACCGATACACAGAATTATGTATCTTAGTGTAGTCTACTTGTGTGCCAAGTTATACTGAAATCAGACTAAAACTGTAGAAGGAGTAGCATTTTGAAAGAATTTCACAGAAATTTCTATTTTTAGTAACCACGGCAACACCGTTCATCAAAATCAAAAACCGATATACAGAATTATGTATCTTAGTGTAGTCTACTTGTGTGCCAAGTTATATTGAAATCAGACTAAAACTGTAGGAGGAGTAGCATTTTGAAAGAATTTCACAGAAATTTCTATTTTTAGTAACCACGGCAACACCGTTCATCGAAATCAAAAACCGATACACAGAATTATGTATCTTAGTGTAGTCTACTTGTGTGCCAAGTTACATTGAAATCAGACTAAAACTGTAGTAGGAGTAGCATTTTGAAAGAATTTCACAGAAATTTCTATTTTTAGTAACCACGGCAACACTGTTCATCGAAATCAAAAACCGATGCACAGAATTATGTATCTTAGTGTAGTCTACTTGTGTGCCAAGTTATATTGAAATCAGACCAAAACTGTAGGGGGAGTAGCATTTTGAAAAATTGTTTACAGACAGACAGACGGACAGACGGACGGACGGACGACGGATGCATTACTATCGCATAGCTTCTGGTCTCTGACCAGTAGAGCTAAAAATAAACTTCAGTCTTCCTGGGAAATATGTTCCTTACATTTTTTCTCAGAGTTTGGCAGTTCTACATCATGCTTTTTCACTTTGTCGAACAACAACTCGGCCCCACCACTGAAATGGAACTCACTAAATTATATGAGGGAAAATGAATAATATAATATGGTATGGTTTGTAAAAAGTTAATTGACTGCCGTCACAAAAAGGGCCCTTAAGGTCAAATTTTCACAAATTGACTTTTTGGTAAATTTTGATAGCCGGACTCTTTCTAAATGCAAATATACATTAATTTTGAAAATATCTCACTTTTCCCCTATTTTATGAGCATTTTAGTGAGGAGGTCCAAAAATAGACCTATTGAAATTGTTCTGTTTATTAGGTCTTTCCACCTTTCTGTGGAAAGACCTATTGATTTTCTTCTGTTTCTTTTTTTTATTATTTTTTATTATTTTTCCGCCGTGTGATTTTGAGTTTCAAGATTTATCGAAAAGATTTTTAGTTCATAAGAATGTACTTCATAAAAGATTTTCGCAGTTGACCCTGCGTATATGAACTTTGATCCTTTTCGGAGTTATTACCCCTTTCGCAAGAAAGCTTGTTATCGCTACTCCTCCGAAACCATAAACCGTAGAGAAATGAAACCTTCACTATTGTCTTTGACTAATTTAGTAGACACTCCAATGATTCATTGCGAAAGTATTCATTGACCCCTTCAGTGAGTTATTGCCCCTGAAACTTTTTGAATTTTACAAATAATTAAAAATTTTCAAAACAAGAAGTCCTAGAGACATGGGACCAACTGCAAAAGATTTATTGACCTTTGACCTTAAAAATTCATGTAAAGGTCAAAGGTCAAGGTCATTCCCAAAATGAGAAAATTAGCTCTTTTTGTATCTCTTTTGTCTTTCAACATATACTTAATGTCTATCCATCAGTGATATGTACTCTTAAAACTGTTTTAAAGATTTCATTCTTGTCCCCTAAGATTAAACCTTTTAAAAGTTATTGCCCCTTGTGCGAAAAACCTTGTTATCGCTACTCCTCCGAAACTGTAGACCCTACAGACACCAAACCTTCACTAATGTCTTAAGGGTCTTTAGACCTAACTTCATTGTATAAGTGCAAAAGAATCTGATGACCCCTTAAATGAGTTATTGCCCTTTAACTTCTTTGTACTTACTATTAAACCTTATAACTTGAAAACTATAAGTGGTAGAAGCATGGGGTCAATTGCATTGTGACCCATGACCTTTGACCTTGAATATTTTTTTTCAAGGTCAAAGGTCAAGGTCATTCTTTTTTTTTTTTTTTTTTTTTAAATTTTCATTTTTTCTATGCTTTAAGAGAGTTTTGGTTTCTTTTTCATGGAATTTAATTTTTAAGGAGTCAGATATAAAACAGAGTTCAAAGAAGGTGGAAAGACCAACAATAAGTCTCCTAGTTATTATTATTATTTTTCCGCCGCGTGTTTTTGAGTTTCAAGATTTATCGAAAAGGTTTATAGACCATAAGAATGTACTTCGTAAATGATTTTCGCAGTTGACCCTGCGTATATGAATTCTGACCCCTCAAGGAGTTACGACCCCTTTCGCAATAAATGTTTGTTATCGCTACTTCTCCGAAACCGTAAAACGTAGAGTTACAAAACCTTAACTAATGTCTACGACTTATTCAGTAGACACTTCAATCTGTCTTTTCGAAAGAATTCGTAAACTCCTGTAATGAATTATTCTCCCTGAATGTTTGCGATGTTTATGAATATCAAGATCTTTTCTTCAACGACAAGTCGTAGAGACATGGGGCCAACTGCAAAAGATTCATTGACCTTTGACCTTAAAATCTAGGTCAAGGTCAAAGGTCAAGGTCATTCAAAATATGTAAAACTAAGCATTTTTTATAGCTCTTTTGTCCTTCACCAAATTCTGCACATCTTTACATCTTTAGTATGTACTCTTAAAACCATTTCAGAGATTTCATGCTTGTCCCCTAAGATTGATTCCTCTAAAAGTTAGTGCCCCTTTCAGTGTAAACCCTTGTTATCGCTACTCCTCCGAAACCGTAAACCGTTGAGGTACAAAACCTTCAACAATGTCTGCGACTAATTTAGTACACGTCTCATTCTAATAATGCGAAAGAATTTGTAAACCATTTTAAGCAGTTATTGACACTGGCAGTTTCTCATGTTTACGAAGAACTGAAAACTTCTTAACGACAAGTCGTAATGACATGTGGACAATGCATGAGATCTTTCGACCTTTGACCTTGAAGATTAGGTCAAGGTCAAAGGTCAAGGTCATTGGGAAAGTATCAAAATTGCTTATATACGGGTTTTTTTTGGGGGGGGCTTAAAATGACCTTGACCTTTGACCTTGATCCTACCTCAAATTTTTTATGATTTTATTTAGATTTAATATATTAATCGAATGAATCTGGAAAATAGCGAATTTTCCCATCAAATAGATTTCCACCCTCTCAGTGACACAGTTTTCTTCATGAAATGCATCTTTCAAGTTTGATTTACGCTGATAATTATTAATTCAATCCAAATAGAGATGATCATTTAATCTTACCTATGAGCTAGTTCACCATATGTGTCAAAACGAACGCACCTATATTTTCATAAATTGTAAACACAGTGCCGACACGGAAGTTCGAATGTATAATAAGCTCTGTATCATTAACTCAATTTATTCAAAGTATAAACAAACTCAAATGAAATGTTTTTACAAGAAATCGGCATTTTCATTATACACCAATCGTGTTTCTCAGATCTATTCATTATTCTTCACTACATTGTGCCACAAACAAATAAATACACGTGTTTCTGTAGCGTAGATCTGAAGGTCCCGAGTTCGAATCCTGCTGCGAGCATTTTTTTGTTTTGCATTTTTTTTTTCTATTTTTTTTTTCTCCAAATGACTCGGAAACACTTAAAAAGTTGGAAAGATCTTTTATTGTTCTGTGAACAATAAGTCTCCTAGTTATTACTATTTTCATGCTAATTTAGAGCAGATCTGGTAATTTTGTAAAGATAAAGCGGGGGGGGGGGGGGGGGGAGGTCTAGACAGAATCTTGGACCGCTTTATAACATAATCAGTAGGAAAATAGCATTTGTTTATATCCATATAAATTATTCTTCTTATAGACAGTAATCTAATTTAATTTATAAAATATATAAAGCACCTGTAATACTTAAAGATTAAAAGAAATATATATATAGAGAGAGAGGATCCGATGCAGAAGGACACCGCGCGCAAAACGGGACACCCCTTGCAAAAAGCACATCGATCCTTATATTTAAAAAAAAAAATCTTATGAGACAGCATCCACTCACCAGCACACACGCACGTAACTTTATTCCCTATAACTGTTACGATAAAAAAGAAACACCATGTATTTTTTGTATCACCGAAGAATTCAATTGAGAAATAATAAATTCAGATACGCCAAGTTATATAAACTTGTTTTTTAAAAAGTTTATTCCTTTTATAAACATTCATGAAAAAATATACGTTCACTTCTTCCATGCAATGAAGTAAGGAGTCAATCCTTACGTCGCGGGTTCGAATCCCACTGTGAGACGTGGATACCGATCCTTCGGACGAAACCGTATAAACCAAGTTCCCGTGTCTCAGTAGGTGCTGGCACGAAGAAGATCCTTTCCTGCTCAATAGACCTGAGTGCCAAGTATACGACAAAATTTGCAGCTCTCCACCGGCAAGTGGTTGTGTCTCCATATGAGTGAAAAATTCTCGAGAGGGGCGTTAAACAATTACAATCAATCAATCAATCTTCCATTCAAGCGGATTTTAAATTTGTTACGTTTTTTGAATAGTTTATTTAAAAATTAAAATGTTTAAAGCTCTAAGTTTCCATTGTTTATACAAATCATTTTCGTCGCCTGTCTTAGTTATGGAGTAGAAACGTAGTAAATAGGCTAATAAAGGACAAATGAAGCTGAATGATTTATATACCGTAACTCACTTTAAATTGAAACTTTCTTTGAATTTATACCTCAATTTCAAACCGTCTTTTAACGTTTTATTTTTTAAAAAGTAAATCACAATTAAATCGTTTAGAAATATTTCTGCACATTAACTTTTTTTTTTAAATTTTGTGGCACCTGTACCCTGTTTCACTTAAACATATACATTTTGATGCGATTGTCTTATCCAATAATGAACTATTACGTCCAACATTCATTAATGCTTTTAGTACGAGGCGATGCTGTTAATTAAGCAAGTAATAATATACCGCTCTAATTTGACTCTCTTTCGCTGAAAATATTTAGGCAAACCATTTTCCCTAGTTATTACTTCAAAACATACCAAACATATCAAAAAAAAAACAAAAAAAAAACAATTTGACTGGTACCTTCGCCTGTCCCCACACAACTCGTTTCAATTGAAAGAAAGGACGGGGTCAATTAGGAAAAAAAATAAATCTACCTTAAAAGAAACCTACTCATATAAAATAAAAGGTGTGTGTGTCGAAACTCGAATCCAATTTCGCCGTTAGGGGTGTGTGTGTGTGTGGGGGGGGGGGGGGGGGGGAGGGGTTAAGGTTCAGTCTTCTTTCAGTATCAAATTTTCTTAATCAAGCATTATACAGTGCCTTATTCTTTTGCCCTATAGTGCACGAATTTTACTATATGATGTAACAAAAAGTGTGTGTATGTGTGTGTGGAGGTTGGGGTGCGGACTTTCAATGCACACCCCAACCTCCGTTGCTACTTGCCTGCGACTGTAATGGCCAATATTTTATTTAAAAGAAGAAGAAAAATTTGCCTTTGTTTATTAATTACTCTTCGTAGAGTCATGTTAGGATTGTGATATAAAGTCTTATCTCGGAACTTTAAGAAATTAATGTCGAGATATGCCGGGTATTTTGATACATGTATCAGAGTTGAAGATTTCAACGCAAAATGTGACTTATTTATTTCATATCTTGAATAGTCAGTGATATATATATTTCACGCTCATTAAAGTTTTAAAGATTTTAAACATTTTCATAACTTTTGGAAATTACACCCATAACAATTTGACACATACTTTTTGCTCTTTCAGTGATGTAATTGATGTTATCCAGAAATTAATTCGTACGTCTTTTTGCTT